TATTTAATTATATTACAGATTTGTTTTTCAAAAGAAAAGTCAGCGGCGAATATTTCCGCGTATTTTCATTAGAATTTGACAAGTGGCAAGAGAGAGAGAGAATTTTTTTTTTTTTTTTTAATTTATTAAGGCTTTGGCAAAGCCATTAGCCTAAACATGAAGTTTAAATTATGTTTCTGTAAATATGGCCGCCACAAAGAGGATAGGCAATTTGAGGCGGCGTGCTTGGATTGACTCGGGATTCCATAAAACGGGCTGATACGGGTATTCTAGTTTGAGATTCGTATAATTTCGCGTTTTAATCTTCGATTAAGGCACAATAGCACTATCCTATTCCACTTTAAACTAGATTTCACAAAATAATTGAAAGTCAAAATAAAAACGACACTTTTCCCTCCAAAAGGTCCAGAGCGAATCGAGAGAGAGAAACAAACATATGAATGTCAAATGGTGACACTGTAGAACGTATTTGCAAAGACTGTTTACTTTCTCATTTAACGACAAAATAAAAGTGTAAAAGATTACACGTATTAACTCCTGACGATATTCTACTGTAATTTCTAAGTATCTATGGAAGCAAATTATACTTGAAATCGTCACATTAATCAAAAGCGACACATTTGTTCAAAAGCGAGCATTACAGACAGTGCCGAGCATTCGCCTGTAATGTAACAATCTGTTCAAATTGTAAGGCTGCGACTCCACCAAATATAGTGGACATGTTTTCAAGTCTTTACTGAGGTGCCTGCGAGTGCCTTTGACTGCTGGTCACTCCTGGCTCTCGCTGGCTCTGACGGGCACTCAAAGGGACTCAAAGGCACTCACGGGCACTCGCGGGTCTTCGCGGACACTCCTGGCTCTTGCGGGCACTCAAAGGCACTCGCACGCACTAGGAGGCACTCGCACGCACTCAGAGACACCCGCACGCACGCTACTTCGCACATTTCTGATGGAATCGCAGCCTAATCGAATCTTGGAGGTAGTTTGTAATGTAATACTTGAAAAGAAATCTTGAATGTTGCACTACGGATAAATATTCGCGGTGAGTGAGCGCCCTTAACCCGTAAGCCTTTACAAGGTGCCTACCTTCAAATTAGACGCTTGTAGAAGGACGCCACTGTGGCACTACAGCTGCGTTGCGGCAATAGACAAGGAAGGCAGAAATGTGCACTTATTCTATCATTAAAAAAATCCCCGGCAGTGGCACAGTCGAACGAGTCAGGGACTTCCTATTACTCTTATCTACGTTATACATAATATAGTTTATTACAAACTTTTTACACGTGCAGCTTGTTACACTAACAAAACGGTCAACGCCCTGTGTGTCCAATACAATAATGGTTTTAGGATGCAGTTCCAACAGCCTCATGCTGTTGGTCTGGAAGTATCAGATTTGTGATACATTTAAGTACTGGAACTTCACACACGTGTGTTCTGGAATCCACGTGTGTGAAGCCTCTGGAGGCTTGGTGTATAACCTAATGAATTTTTTATTATTTGCCAACCTTTTTTACTAACGTAGGCTAGTTTCTGTAACTATATTATAGTTTCTATAACAACATATACTTTGCCGGGACACCGAGTGCTAAGTGACATTGAGGATGATGTCAAGAAATGCAAAATTGAGACGCTATCTTGGTTTGTGACCTACGGCTCTGCGACGTGGTCACTTACTATGGGCCTCATAAAAAAGCTCAACGTCACTCAACGAGTTGCGGAGAGAGCAATGCTCGACATTTCTCTACGTGAATGAGGAGATCCGTAGAAGAACGAAAGTCACCGACATAGCTCGATTAGGAAGTTGAAATGGCAGTGGGCAGGGCACATAGCTCATAGAACTGACGATCGTCAAAGATTCTCGAATGGAGACCACGAACCGGAAGGCGTTCAGTGGGACAGCCCCGTAATATATGGACGGATGACTTGGTAAGGGCGGCGTGTAACCGATGGATGCACGCCGCGTCCGATCGACTAGTCTGGAAGTCCTTGGGGGACTTTTCCGGCTGATATGATGATGATGACCTTGGTTTGTAGGATAATATCTATAGCACTTATTTAAATCTAAACATATACTCCAGAGCTAATTAATACCATAGTGAATTGTAAGTTAATTTAAGTGTCGAAATTGTTAGTTCATCGCTAAATGGGTAAACCACTAAGTTTTTGGCTAGCGTTAAAAGAAGAGTAGCTTTTTTAACCGACTTCCAAAAAAGGAGGAGGTTCCAATTCAACTGCTGTTTTTTGTATGTACGTTATGCGCTAAATTTGTAAACTGATTTTGATGATCTTATGTTTGTTGGAAAGAACCTCTGTAGGAGTGCCATTTAAATTTGAAGACAATATTCCACCTTTAAGGGTGGCAAACTAGGGGATGAATCCGTTTTCGAGCACTTTCCGGTAACCGATTCCAATAAAAGTTAGCAAATACGAGTACGTGGTAATTCCACAAACTTTTGTGGTCGGTTTTTTTAGTACTCTGTACTGAAATTATATGTAATTTGATGTTGATTATTCAATTACGTGTGTTTCACGTAAAACATGCATTACCATAAATGTACTGCTATGTTTGTCATAAAAAGTACCCAAATAATCTAAACGAATCAAAAGGCTATCACAGTGATGATTCTTCAAATAATTATCGATAGTGAGCAATCATTGGATTACATTTTAGAACTGAATTTAAGTGTAATATATGGTGCTCCAAATAACCCATAGCAACAATTATTATAAAAATAATAATAAATAAAATAAAATAAAGTTATTTGACAGAATGATAGCAACAATTTTATGATTACTGCGGTACCCACACTAGGCAAGCCTGTAGGGCTAGCACAAGAGGAAGCGCGAGATACTGCAATTCTCACATAGAGATCTCACGCTTTATGTCGCTTTTTACATAATATAATCAATCAATCAGCCTATTGCAGTCACTGCTGGATATAATATAATACTTAACCTCTAAACGAACAGAAAGTATTAATATATGTAAACAAGTTAACCAAGGACGTATTGTTTTGGATACATTATTAATATTAATATTATATACATGTGTGTGTGTATATATGTATATACATACATACATACGACGTACTTTTGAGGTCGGTTTTTTTAGTACTCTGTACTGAGATTATAACTCATTTGCTACTGTTTTTAAGTGCAATTTATTTAATATGTTCAATAGTCTGTTAATTTCTAAGTAATTTATTTATTTCGCAATTGCCGTGACGTTAAGCATCTTCACAGTTTGTATTCTGCATCTATGCTAAAAACATGAAAGGGTTGTATCCCTATCTAGCCGTGAACAGGTTCACGGCAATGAAATGGGAAACTTCCAGGCCACAAAATTTATTAAAGAAGTAAAGTTTAAAGAAAGGCTGTAACAATATAAAGGTAAATGTAAAAAAACAGGTATAACAGTATAAAACACTCCCTACACTTTATTATTAAGGCACTTACCCCTAAATGGGCCGAGAAACTGAATTACATAAATAGATACATGAAGGGTGTAGACTTATAAATTATTACACATGATTAGCTTATTAACAGCTCTGACTGTTGTGGCGGTCGAGCTGGGAGTGACCGTGGTACGAAAACAAAATGAGAAAGTGAAGGAAAATGGAACAATTAAAATTTAAAATTTAAATACAAGTAGAATTAAAAAAATGATAAGATATAAGAGACGAGAGGCGATACAACAAGGTGAGATGACGGTGTAAGGAGGTCACACCGTCATAATAAACATAAATAAATATTGGGACGTGTAAATGGGCTGATGAGGTTGACGAATATTATGTGGTTTAATCTGCCGAGCCTACAGATTATCACTTCAGAAACTAACACATCCTATGCTGTATAAAAACACAATCAATTTTCTCTTATCTGCCGTTATCGAAACAATGACTCACGTAATGTGTGCGATAATCAGACAAAAGATAATAATATAAACCTAGCCTACAGTGAAACGACTTATTATACAACCTTTTAGTACTTCGTTTGGATGTCACTGCGTTAGTGACGAACCGTCAAACAAATAGTGAGGTTTTTGGTTTCGCCGTGAAAAAAAATGGACCATCCCGCATTTGCTGACGCAGGCGGTGAGCCTGGTATTGAAATTTGGACAATCGAGGTAAGTTAATTTTTTCCTTGTTTTTAAAGGTTTAAGGCTGCTTACAGATTGACTACGGCTCAACTCACACTGGCGCAGAGTCGAAGCGTCGCGTCACGACACTTCCATTAGCGCGCCCGGATCAGTGTGCTCGGCGTTTGACTAGAGATGGGAAAAACTGCTTCTTTTATTAAACGTTTAAACATTGCACTTTTTTTAAAGCATGCTTTTTGACGCTTTTTAGTTTGAAACTTAAGAAAGCGTTTAGAAAAACGTCTAAGCGCATAGACATTTATGTTAAAAAAAAACTTGCAACGTTGTGTTGATAGCGAAAAGCAAGAGTTGACCACGACTTATTTGTAAAACAAAATTATTATTCACATTGAAGAATTAATTTGTTTAGGAAACA